TAACCTGAATATTTGTAACAAACTCAGTAAAAAAAAAAAAAAAAGCTAAAAAAAATAATCAGGGGAAAAATGTAACATTTTAAGTTAAGCTGACAAGCGGAAGTAGTTGGTTTCAGTACATAAGTATCGGGCTTTGCTATTTAATCCGTAGCTATTGACTAATGAGGGGAATTTAAAAGTTGGCGTTAATGTCCTTCCACATGTGGAAAGCGACAGAAAACATGCTGCTGTTTGCACATATTTAATAATCAGCTCTGCACAGGAGCAGAAGCAGAGTCCAGCCTGTTGCTCTTACAGTATAATACTCATAATAAAAGTACAGTAACCGTGGTTAGTCACTGAGCAGCCCGGTGCGTTTCTCTTGATTTCTTTAGTCAGGGTAAATTCATTCACCTGCACGGGGTAGCTAAACGAACTTTACAAAACAAGTTTCCCCGACAGCCGAGTGCTCATCTTAGCTAGCTAGGTCCTTAGGTAGCTAGCTAGGGACCTAAATTACGGATTAGCTTACAAACACATTTAACTTACCAAAAATAATGCGGTGGGGCCTCAGATCCTCCTGTCCGGTAGTCCAATTTACTGAAGAACACCTCAGGCTGTCACTTTGAAATAGTCGGTAATGTAAACGCTGGACCTCTCTGCATCTGCCATTCCCGAACAGACACGTGCGAGTTTGTCCGTGACCGCAGCCGCGTCGTCAGTGTTTTCTCCAGTCATTGGTCAGCATTATAATATATGCAAATACATGCGGGTCGGAATCCCCGCCCCCCAGCGCGCCCCCGTACGCCAAAACAGTGCCAGCAGAGTGAAACTGAAAAATGGTTTGAAACCGAAAAGTGGATTGAAACCGAAAAAAAAAATTGTAAGCGAAAACAAAAAAATTACAGTTTCAATTAATTGTTTTTCACTATCATTTTTTTTTCGGTTTCAATACAAGATTTTTCAGTACATTTATTTCAGTTACAATATTTTTTTTCGGTTTCAATCCATTTTTCGGTTTCGTTTCAAGGTGGCATCGTTCTGATTCCATATACGCATGCTGCTCTCGTGCCCTCTACGAGCTGGAAATTCGGGAAAAAGTCTTGTAGCGGTTACAAACGTGAAGCGGAGCTGAGTCCGACAGCATTCGCCATTACACGAACTCCTCTGGTGAGTTAGCGTGCAGCTCATGTTCGTATGAAATGTTTTGTGCCTTATTATACTGCAGCGAGGTATCAAATCTACCGCTGTCATGTTGTTAAGAAAGAGGCTAAATATTGTATAACGTGTGTTATTGGCTGACTGTTAGCAAGCTAGCCGTTAAGTGAGCCTAGCTAATGTCCTAAAATGGCGGCCGACACGAGGTCAGTTACAGTGTTATTATGTTATGCCTAAGAGAACAGCATTAATAAGCATTGTTAACAGCATTTATGTTCTGTTATATTTTTATTTTGACAAACCTGTATTATTATAATGGTAAGTCTGTTAAATAAGCCATTAGTGACATGGACACTGAGTCAGTGGTACTGAGACTTATGAACATTTTAGTTAATTCTTCTGCACACTTGTGTGTAGGCTGGTTTGTTTGCCCTTTTGGTGCCCTGGATCCTACTGGATGAACTGCCTTGTGGAAGTCCTCATCTGATGACTCTGCCGAACCGTCCTGGCAAATAGATGGTCGTTGCTGCTTGCTGGATGCTATTATTGGATGCTACACCGTTCCAACAGAGCGGTAGGAACAATTCAAAGGGCCCCAACGATGCGCTTTATTTTTCCCTGAGCTCAGGTGATTTTCTTTTGGCCAAAGGACCTTAAAGGATACATATTTGATTTTATTTATTTATTTATTTTATTTTTCTTATGACACTGAGTGGAAAGACACTACAAAAGAAGGGTTTATTATTTAAAATTGTGTCTAATAAATGTGTTTATGTTAAGTAAGTGTGGTGTCCATTGTGTGCTGGAAGCCTTATTGTTCCTGTGGTGGAGCAGCTACTACCAATCTCCTTTACGAAACTAGCTTCTGACAGGATATAGATATTTGGGATACATTTGATTTCTTGTAACCTATTTTTAGAGAAACTGTGATTCTGGGTTAAACATCGGGGTGAAATTGATGACACCGACACCTAGTGAACTGCCCAAGGTCAACAGTCCTGATTTCCACGCATTAAAGGTTTGGCGTAAGTACAGATTGCGTTACAGAGGCAAGCTACAGTTGTAGCCACAGCTGCCCTGGGGCAGATTTAGAGCTGCAAACTTGCAATTTTTAAATATTTCATATTTATCTATTATTTTTACTACTTAGAACCACAACTCTGTTATTCCAACCTCTCAGATGAGTGAATACAAGTGCTCGTGTCATGATCCGGAGTGTTGGTGTTGTTTGGGGAATATTTTCTTACTCTTTTCAAAACTCAGGCCCTGCCTGTGGGTGAAGTTTTAAATCGGCCTCCATGTTCTACTTGCTCCAAGTGTTTCCCTGTTTAATTTCGCCTTCTTTTTGTCTCCAGTTCCCTGCACCTACAGATCATTATCCACTCAACTCCGCTCTTATCTGGATTTCTTGTGACACTGGTCCTTCCCTCCGACCGACTGCCTATCCCAATCTTACCTGTCAGGAGCCGTCCCTTCCTGTGGAGAATCTGGAAACCCACCTGCCTGCTTTCCTGCTCACTGTAACCATCCATCAGTCCAGAAAAGAAGGTCTCCCTCCCTCCAAAACCCAGATTCACCAGCCTGCCAAGGAAGCAACCTTGCAATACAACTCACCTGCACTGGAAATAATACCGGTCTCCTCTGTTACAATGGATCCAGCCTCTCAGAAGCATCCTCCTTGTAACATTTTACAGCTCTTTATCTCTGTATTTAATAAAATCAGCTTGAGGTTGAAACAGCCGTGACTTGAGTCTGCTTGTGGGTTCACTTTCATGCTGGCCTCTCGGCCCTGACAGCTTGACTGCCTCCTCTGAAATCACAAATTCACACACTGTGCTTTGACTTTTGCAGCACTTCTTAAGAGAGATGTGATACAAAACTTACACTTCTAGCTGAAGGGGGACAGGTGGTGGTGAGGGAATCTGTGTGGTTGAAAGCAGAGACAATAGGAATGGAGGTCAGCCAATCAGAATATTGATAACTGGTACGTATTGCAGCTCTTTGTATTGTGTCTTTCTGGGGGTGTCGATCAGAACAAGCAGCAGCCAATCAAATGCAGTGCAGTCATTTATTTCGTTGGCTCAGATATTTACACAGCACAGTAATGAAGGGCACAGCACAGGTTTTACAGTCTTTGTAATCTGTGAGTGTGCATTGAGCTTTGCTCTGAAGAGGAAATAAAAAACAAGAAATAACATTTAGTTTCATGTCACGTCTGTAGGTTTATATAACAGTTATAATTAATTAAACTAAAACACGTACACATATTTCTGTGTTAAACTAAGTACATCCTAACTTCACAAAGACAAACACAGTCCAACATCACCATCTACTGACTACACGGGTTTAGAGCAGCGTGATCATGTGACTACATTTGCACAAACATGAGTATCAAGCTAGTTGCAAACTGTCTGTATCAGTGTTTCCATTCTGAAAGATGTGGAGAGGTTTTAAAAAATGAAATACATATGAAATAAAATAAATTAATAAATCATAACACTTTTAGATTCAAATATTTGTTAATAAAACAATTCCAGATTCCCAACTTGTGAGGACAACATAAAGTTTATTAATATATTTTATATAACAAAATATATCTATAGTCTGAATAATTATAATCATCAATATTTAAAGACATGATTAGAGACGAAAACAAACCAATTCCAACTGTGAAACTTGTTACGAGTTCAAAAATTGGGGATGGAGACAAGAGGAAAAACCACAATAACAACACTGGTCCGGCCGGGTTAAGTCAAACGATGATTTTAATGATCACACGCGTGGGAGATGGACACTGTATGCAGACAGCCTCAGATCTCATCTCAAAAAACACATCTCCATAGTTTTATGAAATCAGGGTATTAGAACGCCCCTTCATGCGTAGTGACAGGTGTGATACAATCGATGTTGACAGTTTTATTTAACACAGAAAATAACATTATCTCCTTCCAGAGGGCAGACGCTGACTGCCCCCGTCTCCTGGAACCATCTGTCCCCTGTTAAGACACAACATTGCAGCTACAAGGACTTCCACATTGATTAAGACGATCAGTGTATACTGCTCTGAACCAAGTATATAATATTAAATGAATATTGCTTGATCAGCTACCACTACTTAAAACATAACAGGAAACATAACTAAGCACAAGATCACCAAGAATAACATCGTATAAGTGCTGTGTAAGCGCGTGCGGCCTTCTAAGCTCAAAGCCTTTCCCCTCCATAGATCAGCCAGACATCGCGCTGACTGTAGCTTTTAACCCTTGATTAACTTGAGCACAACTCTATAATGAGCAACAAACTGCAATATGTATAAGATGATCATGGTTACACCTGCAATGAAAGATCATATTATTATTCTGGTACCTGTAAGTAAAAGATTAATCTAAAGTTATAACAATCACTGTAATGCAAAAGATACTGTAAGGTCAAAAACTTCAATACATGTTTAATGCAAAGCTGATTATCTGATTCTAATGGACTAATAGTGCCATATTAAAATAATGAGACCAAAAAGACAAAAACATCCCCTTTTTATCCCACAAACTGTATCTACAAGTAAGCTTAAGCTGCATTTATTAAATGGTAAATGGCCTGTATTTATATAGCGCTTTACTAGTCCCTAAGGACCCCAAAGCGCTTTACATATCCAGTCATCCACCCATTCACACACTGGTGATGGCAAGCTACATTGTAGCCACAGCCACCCTGGGGCGCACTGACAGAGGCGAGGCTGCCGGACATTGGCGCCGCCAGGCCCTCTGACCACCACCAGTAGGCAACCGGTGAAGTATCTTGCCCAAGGACACAACGACCGAGACTGTCCAAGCCGGGGCTCGAACCGGCAACCTTCCGATTACAAGGCGAACTCCCACCTCTTGAGCCACGATCGCCCATTAAAGGAAACATCCTGATTGAACTTCTTTTATAAAAACGCTGCAGATGTTTGCTAAAAGTAGATCAACAATGACTGCATCCTTGCATCTGTTTCCTTCCTTTCTAATATTAAAAGTAAGAATAATGATGATACAGTTAACAATAGTTATAAAAACAGAACCTGCTTTTTCTTCAAACATGAAACCAATGACTAGTCACAAAACATTTCTGGCACAGAAATTTAAATTTTCATGAACACGAACAACAGTTTAGCTGAATGAAAATCATCGTGAACAGTGACAACCTCAACAGCTAAAGTCATGGAGGCTAAACACACATAAGATGGAGGGCCCCTCAAACAAAGTCAGTCATTAACTAGATAATAAATAATAAGATGTCAAAGTAGCAAAGATAAAGTGCGACTGACATGTGATCTCTGTGTGAACAAGAGACAAGGGAAACTGGAAACTAAAGCATGTTTTCAGCAACTTTCTGGCAATGACTTCTGTCTACTTCAGTTTAATAAACTTTGCAGTGTCTCCATCTCCATAAAGCCAAAGTCCAGCATAGAGCGGCTGAGTGAATGTGGTCTGGACTCTGTGGAGGAGAGTCATGGTTTCAGAGACTCTGTAGAAAGACAGAATACCTGCTCTGTGATCCAGGTACACTCCTACTCTGGAGGACCGAGGACCTGAGAGGACAGTTTGGACATTATTGTGGAAAAATTTACATCTGTCCTTTTCACAACGTAATGCCCAAGATTTGTCATTGTATCCAAATTTGCATTCATCTGAGCGCCCTGCTCTTCTGATATTCTTGTATGCAACTGCTACATAAACCAGTTTTCCTCTCCACTCCACCTCCCAGTAACAACGTCCAGTCAGACTCTCTCTACTCAGGACCTGCCAATAATATACGAATCTGTCTGGATGATCAGAATAAGACACTTTCTGTGTCATTACTTCTATTTTTCTGTTCCCCTCAGATAATAACAGATATCTGTTTGCTGTGTTTGGATCCAGTGTGATTTCTTGTGAATATTTTAAGAATCCAGCTCTGGTCTTTGGCTCTGGTGGTGACAGTAAAACATCCACTTCAGTGACTGTCAGTGAGATGTTTGTCCATTCCTCTCTCAGAATGTCCTGTAGTTTATCTCTGGTCTCTGACACAGCTGCTGTCACATCCTCAAAGTAGCTCAGAGGACGAATATTGATGCTGGATGAGTGTGTAGACTCACTGAGTGCTGACAGTGAGGGGTAGTTGTGTAGAAACTGGTTGTGATCCTCTGTGTGTGAGAGCTGCTCCAGCTCGCCGTCTTTCCTCTTCAGCTCAGCGATCTCCTGCTCCAGCTTCTCCTGAAGCTCTTTGACTCGACTCACTTCAGTTTCCTGCTGGGATCTGACCTGCTGCTTCACATCAGAGCTTCTTTTCTGGAGGAGACGGATCAGCTCAGTGAACATCTTCTCACTGTCCTCCACTGCTTTATCAGCAGAGCCATTGATGGCCTCCACCTCCTGTTGAAGCAGCTTCACATCTTTCTCTCGCTCCTGGATTCTCTGCTGGATGTTTAGTCGTCTCACCTCGAGCTCCTTCTGCTTCTCAGTCCTTACTGCTGCAGCTGGGACTGTTTCATGGCCTTTATGTTCATCCACTGTGCAGAGATAACAGATACTCTGCTGATCAGTACGACAGAAAATCTTCATCACCTCATCATGACGAGAGCAGATGTTCTCCTGGAGCTTCTTGGAGGGGGCCACCAGCTTGTGTTTCTTTAATGGAGCTGCATCATAGTGAGGTTGGAGATGTTTCTCACAGTAAGAGGCTGGACAAGATAAACAGGACTTGATGGCTTTCAGCTTCCTCCCAGTGCAGACATCACAGGTCACATCTTCAGGTCCAGCATAGCAGTGATCAGCTGGAGCAGCTTGGAGTCCAGTCTTCTTCAGCTGCTCCACTAAAGCTGCTAACACGATGTTTTTCTCCAGGACAGGCCTCGGTGTGAAAGTCTTCCTACACTGAGGGCAGCTGTGGATTCCCTTCCTGTCCTCTTGATCCCAGAAACGTTTAATACAGTTCCTGCAGTAGCTGTGTCCACAGGCTGTAGTCACTGGATCCTTCAGTAGATCCAAACAGATGGAACAAGAGAAGGTTTCTCTGTTCAGCTGAACTCCTTTCTGCGCCATTTCTCCTCTCAGTGTCAGTGACAGAGTAGTTTCAGTTATAAGGAAGAGAAACTCACACAGAGCTCTGATCTCAACAACGTGTTTCTGCAGTGAATGGAGCCTGTCAGCTCTTACACGTCACCACATGTTGATTACACCCATCTTCAAAGTGCAGATCTGAAGGGGAGGGAACGACAAATGAGAGAAGAGGTGAAAATGGAAGAGCTTTCAGGCTTTAACTGAATCTATGAAGAAGAGCAGTTTAAAGCAGACAAATGGTGTACAAAGAAATTATGGTTATCATTACTAACTAATGAAAACCATTAGTTACTAACGATAACCATTAGTTACTATCATTAGTAACTAATGATAACCCAAAGAAAGTTAAATATATCAGATAAAAACAAGAACAAAGAATTTCAGCAAAGCACGACAGAAAATACTCTGAACAGACGTAAGCATAATTATTTCCACACACAACAAAGGGGGGGAGAAGGCAGGCCACCACCTGTGGAACATGAGGGACTTATTACATAAACATAACATTGTTGAAAACAACTTAATAAAGGTTTTGCCACACTACACTAAGCCTTTAATAATAGTTGTTTTTCTTTTGTTAGTCAGGAGGATTGTTTGTTGTTTTCTTGAGTGTCAGAGTTCCTCATATTTCAGTGGGGGCTCATACGATGTAAGGACAAAGAAGATGTAAGGTCTTTAAACCAAAAATGGCTGGAGAGTGTGGGATTATAATATTATTTTATGCCATGTTAGACCCCTAATTAAAAATTGTGAATTATTATATAGTTTTAGTTTGCATTATTCTCCTGAATTAGAAGAAGCTGATAACTATTACATTTGTTAAACTGATTTGCATTACATTAGACTGCTGATTTATTGTGAATGAATGATGTTGTTTTATGATGCATTATACTGCTGAGTTATAAGAAATACTGTTCACAGAAAGTCATCGCCTTATTTGTCTGATTAGAAGAGAACAGAACATACTGGAGTTTTCTGCCCCATCTCAGCAGGAGCAGATAAACAGGGAGCCAAGGTCGTAGCTTAGGCGCCGTGTGAGAGAAAGAATGTGAATGTTTAGGCTTTTATGATAAGGTTGGGGCACCAGAGGTTATAAGAGTTTGATCAATGCTCCACCATTTTGAGATCTGATGCTGTCTGTGTACGGTGTCCATCTCCCACGCGTGTGATCATTAAAATCATTGTTTGACTCAACCCGGCCGGACCAGTGTTGTTATTGTGGTTTTTCCTCTTGTATCCATCCCCAATATTTGAATCCGACAGGCAGACATTTGATACACCCGGGGCTTAGCCCTAAAGGGTAGTATGCATGTGGGATTGGGGGGGGGGGAGGGTTGGAAATGACTAAAAGATTAATTTGCTCTGTTTTGAGTTTTGTTAAAAAAAGAATGACTTCATATAGGGAAAAATATATATCACATATGCAGGACACCTTAAACTAGTTTTTTAATTAAGCAGCAATGCAGAACAAAATCAGGGCTGTATCAAGACACGAGGACTAAAGCCCAATTCAACCAGACCCAGAACTGATTCGGAATTAAAACAGGACTACAACAGTAACCAAGACAGAACCAGAATCAAAACTAGATGATAGTAGCACTAAAAATCATCATAGACCTGCACTACACTTATTTTTTTAATTCTACCAAAGTCCACTATTTAGTTTGAGAAAAGTTTATATAATTATTTAGCCTTGTTGTGCAAACAAGCCTGCAAAACTTAATAAATATAGAATTTGAAAAATAACAAACCTAAAAAGAAACACTAGGTACGAGATACATGAGGACCTATGATACGGTGATACTTTTGGTAAACAACCGTTTGACTAACATGTGTGTCTCACCTGCTCTTGTTCCATCTCTGCTCCTCTCTCTCCCTCTTTGTGCTGATAATCAAGCCAAACACCGACATCATCAAATATACAGTTGAAATCAGATATTTACATAATCTTCAGATAAAAACACAAACACTTTTTTAACTGTAACATCAAATCAGACTAATTGTTTATTTTTTTAGGTTGATAAATATAAAAAACACATTTATTAACTTTAAGAGTAAAGAGAGAAACTGTCTGTATTTCTTAATTGTAAATGGCACCAAATTGTATTCACAATTGAGCCACACTTATGGAGCTCCACAATTCTTTTCCTGGTGTTTTGGTTTATATCAAAACACAGGCTCTGTGTTTTGCCTTATATGCATCCACAGGTGTGCCACCAATTTACTCACATGAACTCTACTAACCTATCAGAAGCTTCTTCAGCTCAGAATGGAATCATCTGGAGTTTTCTTATTAATTAACAATAAACTTAGTGTATATGTACTCCTAAATGTGGACAAAATTGTTGGTACCCTTCGGTCAATGAAAGAAAAACTCACGATGGTCATAGAAATACATTAAATAATTGTGAGTAAATTGAGAGCTTCACTTTTACACTTAGCTACATCTTCACCACAACAGACTGGTACAGCACCTGCATCACTGCAGCCGCAGCACCAATCTGTCGGTCGATCTCCAGCTATCTTCTCCCATCACTCGTGAACAAGACCCCGAGATACTTAAACTCCTCTACTTAGAGCAGGGACTCGTCCCTGACCCAAAGTGAGCACTCCACTCTTTTCCCCGGCTGAATACCATGGCCTGAGATTTGGAGGTGCTGATTCTCAGTCCCACCACTGCACACTTGGCTGTGAACTGTTCTAGTGCAAGCATTAGGAGATCACCTGATGAACAACAGAACCACATCAATTGCGAAAAGCAGAAATGAGATTCTGAGACTACTCAAATTAAAACCTTCAGCCACTTGAAAATGCATATAAATCCTGTCCTTTAAAATTACACACAGAATCAGTAACAAAGTGCAGTCCTGTGAGAATCTATCACCCACCGGAACTTGTATAAGGATCAAATGGCCCGTAACAATGGCCCAGAGACCACTCTTGAATCACCTCCTACAGGACACTTCGAGGGCCACAATCAAATGCCTTCTCCAAGTCAGGGTAAGAACCTGGTCCCGTGTTCCACGGCCAGGACGAAAACCTCATTGTTCCTCCTGTATCTGAGGTTCGACTAATGGATGGACTCTCATTTCCAGCACCGTGGCATAGACTTTTCCAGGGAGATTGAGGAGTGTGATCCCCCTATAGTTGGAACATAACCTCCAGTGCCACATCTTAAAGATGGGAACCACCACTCAGGTCTGCTAATCCAGAGGTATTGCACCTGATCTTCATGCAACAATGTAGAGGCGTGTCAACCAAGACAGCCCTATAATGTCCAGAGCCTTCAGGGACTCAGGGCAAACTTTATCCTCCCCAGGGGCCCTGCCACCAAGGAGGTTGTGGCGGAGGTGTGGTCCCGGGCGCGGCTGCAGGGGAGGAGTGGTGCGGTGAGCTCAACGGGGCGGTGCTGGAGACGCAGGTCAGAACAGCTGATGGCGTTTTGGACTGATGATGGTTTCCTTCCCTTTTATAGTGAGACGGGAGAGGAGCGGAGGAGCGGGAAATCAGCTGAGACCGACAGCTGTCAGACTGTGGCCGGTCATAACACAGGACGCTATAAATAAATGTGACATCTGGAGACAAAGACCTGTGTGTGTGTGTCCCTGTGTGTAGTGCATTTCACAAGTGGTGCCCAAACCCAGCTGGCGTGGGGATGTCTGACCCACAGGCTGCGCCGCCCGCCCAGCCTTTGCACTTCCTGGCGCAGATGCTGGCGGGGGTGGCGAAGATGAGCCAGGACCAGGCGGCGGCCCAGCGTGCTCACCTGGCTAAGCTGCAGGAGCAGGTGGACCGGCAGACCCAGGTTCTGGAGCAGCTGGTTGGGGCCGCTGCTCCGCCGAATTGACCGGGGTTTCATCATCTGTTAGGGCAGTATGCGGGGATGTGATCACGACCGTTAGTAGCGTGTAGTGTCTGCGCGGCGCTCAGGGGTGACGTGGGGTCGTCCGACGCTGACTCCGGGGAGGGGGAAATTTCCCCCACGAGTGATTTCCCACTGGAGCAGTCTCGTGATGACACCCTACGCTCAGCCTTTGACCAGGTGATTGAGATTGATGGTCACGTGGTGCGCCCTGAAGCCATGCGGACCTACCTGCGCTTCATTTTATTAAAAGATAGGCTATATCGAGTGAGTCGTGACACTCGCACGGAGGAGACACACACCCAGCTGTTGGTGCCGCAGGGCCGCCGAGAAATGATTTTACAAGCGGCTCATTATAACCCCATGGCAGGGCATATGGGATACGAAAAAACTCTGGAGCGAATAACGGCCCGATTTTATTGGCCGGGCATCCAAGCGGATGTGCGCCGCTGGTGCGCGTCCTGCCCGGACTGCCAACTTGTTAATCAGCCGGCCATACCAAAAGCGCCTTTGCGCCCGCTCCACTTGTAGAGGTCCCGTTTGAGCGCATTGGTATGGACCTCATCGGGCCGTTTCATCGGAGTGCACGCGGCTACTGCTTTGTATTAGTCCTGGTGGATTATGCAACGCGGTACCCGGAAGCAGTCCCGCTGCACAACATCTCTGCAAAGAGTGTGGCGCAGGCACTGTTTCAGGTCATCTCCTGAGTCGGAATCCTGAAAGAGATACTGACTGACCAGGGCACGTCGTTCATGTCTCGTACACTGCAGGAACTGTACGAATTACTGGGCATTAAATCTATTCGGACCAGCGTCTACCACCCTCAGAAGGACGGGCTGGTGGAGCGGCTGAATAAGACTTTAAAGTCCATGATTCGTAAGTTCATTACCGAAGATGAACGCAATTGGGATCGCTGGCTAGACCCTCTGTTATTTGCAGTGCGGGAGGTGCCCCAGGCCTCCACGGGATTTTTTCCCTTTGAACTGCTGTTCGGCAGGAAGCCGCGTGGGGTGCTCGACCTGATTAAAGAAAGCTGGGAGGACGGTCCGAGCCCCGCCAAGAATGAGATTCAGTACGTGTTGGACCTGAGAGCGAAACTCCACACTTTGGGGAGGTTGTCACGGGAGAATTTGCTCCAGGCTCAGCAGCGTCAGCAACGCCTGTATGACAGAGGGGC